ATTAGAAGCAAATGCTTGGTTAGTATAGCACTGCGTCATATGCTAAATATTTTAATAAGAATATAGTCTCTTCTCACAGTGGCCAACCATCTGCACAAGGAACTCCAGTAGAGACCTGGTTTACATTAAGTTTACCATATATAGCCTAAACAATTTTGAATGACCTTTGAGATGGCAGAAAAAAACAGAGCTTTCCATATTTCTTTGCTGTTACCTAGATTTTTGCATCAAATTTGGTATCTCTAGTTTACACATCCTGTGCCATAACATGGTTTGATTTACTTTGGCTTAGGTTTAGCATGTCCATAAACCCACTTATATGTAAGCCATGGTTTCTGAATGATTACATTAGATTAACTTGCCAATTATGGTTTATTCACTGCAAATCCAACTAGAAACTAAGTATCTGGATTCATTTATTGTTTATTAATAACTTGTTGATATACAATTTATGAAATAAATTGCATTTTGCTGCATTTATTCAGCAAAATGCAATATATTCTGTAAACATACGTTAGCTGAAAATCAAACAAATCATATTATGGCTTAATATAACCAATTCAGCCCATAGCAAGGACATTCATGGTGCTGAAGCAGGCGCCAAGTGCCCCAGGTTCTAGTCCCTCCTTAGGTATGGAAGGGGCTAGGTGTCTTTGGGCTTCCCCTAGACTAGGAAATTGAAAAATGTCTATCTAATAACCCCTAACAGGACCAGTGTGGCAATTATGGTCTATAATTGTCAATAAAGAGGCAAATAAAGTCAGCAAAATCAGATGGCAGTTATGACTACTATATTGATGTCTGGCCCTTTTGTATATGTACCGAGGTCACATGCACATAAAAGGGATGGGGCTTTGATTGTGTATTATCTTCACTTTTCTGATTATCTATCCCTGTGTGCATAGTACTAATTCCTAATGTTTCAAAATTTCTCTTTAAAAAAACATTTTAGCATACATTTTACTTTTGTTGTAGAAACAAAATTATGAAAGTTAGAGTTTTCAATTCTTGCTATGCAATGGCCAAGTCTGCTCAATTGTCTGAAACTGCAGATTTTGGTGCATATTTTATTTTTTGATTCTGCAGGATGAAGGCCTCTTTATTGACAATTATAGACCATAATTGCCACACTGGTCCTGTTAGGGGTTACTAGATAAGACATTTTTTCAATTTCCCAGTCTAGGGGAAACGCAAAGACACCTAGTCCCTTCCATGCCTAAAGAGGGACTATAACCTGGGGCACCTGGCGCCTGCTTCAGCACCTTAACCACTATTTTGTTGTTGTTTAGTCACTAAGTTTTTTTCTAAGTTTTTTTCATCTCTTCGCCATAGAGTGTCAGGCCCTCCATCCTCTACTGTCCTGGAGTTTGCCCAAATTCATGTACATTGTGTTGATGACACTATCTAACAGTCTTATCCTCTATCATCCCCTTCTCCTTTTGCTTTCACTCTTTCCCAACATCAGGGTCTTTTCCAATGAATCTTCTCTTCTCATTAGGTGGCCATAATATTTAAACTTCAGCTTCAGTGCCTATTCTTCCAAGGAACAGTCAGGGTTGATTTCCTTTAGGATTGATTGATTTGATCTCTTTGTAATCCAAGGGACACCACAGTTTGAAAGCATAAATTCTTAGGCTCTCATCCTTCCTTATGGTCCAACTCTCACATCCATACATCTGTCACTGCTTCCATTTCTTCCCTCTTCTATTTGCCAGGAAGCGATGAGACCAGATGCCATGATCCTAGTTTTTTTAATGTTGAATTTCAAGCCAGCTTTTGTATTCTCTTTCACCCTCATCAAGAGATATCGTTTGCATGTCTGAGGTTGTTGAAATTTCTCCCGGCAATCTTAATTCCAGCTTGTATTGGAATTAATAAGCAGAGTGACAATATACGGCCTTGTCATATTTCTTTGCTTATTTTGAACCAATCAGTTGTTCCATGTCCAGTTCTAACTATTGCTTCTTGACCCGCATACTGGTTTCTCAGGAGACAGGTAAGATGGTCTGGTACTCCCATTTCTTTAAGAAATAATAACAATAACAATAACAACAACAATAATAATAATAATAATAATAATAATAATAATAATAATAATAATAATAAAAAAAAAGTTGGAAGGGACCTTGGAGGTTTTGTTGTGATCTACTTAGTCAAAGGCTTTAGCATAATCAATGACGCAAAAGGTGATTTTTTTTTCTGGAACTCCCTTATTTTCTTCATAATCTAGCAAATGTTGGCAATTTGATCTCTGTCTCTTCGAAATGCACTATACTGGCTCTTATATAAATATGGAAAGTACAAGATGGTTATCTGTAGTCTGGGGTGTGATCTCTCTTTGTTGGTAGACCAGTTTCTTTTCATTAGTGATAGCATCAAGAAACTTCCAAAGAGCCTTTGGTTTCCATAGGATTTTATTGACTATGGAGATTCTCAGTCATTCGGGTCATCGTT